GGAACTGTGGATTTAATGACTACCCTGGCCTAGCATCCTTGGGAACCCCTTTAGAGGAGAGGTAGGATGCCACCTCTGAGAATTGAACAGGATGGCCAGCTGGCACGGGCACTCCGAGCCCCTCTCAGCCCCAGGGTGTGCCCTTCTGCCCGGCTCTGCTGAGCAGCTGCCCATGGTGGGGTGTTTGGTGAGGAGCTCCTGGGTTGGGCAGGAGGCTCGACGCAGGTTCGCCATGCCTTCCCACCCAGACGCTCCCAGAGCCACTCCCTGGGCCCTGCTTCCTGGCAGTGCCAGGAGGCTGGAGCGTGAGGGGCTAGAAGCAGGCACTGCCCGCTGCTCCACTGATGCCTGCCAGTGCTAGGTCCAGTAGGCTCCCCTGGGCAGGTGTCAGGGACAGGTGCGCTAACCTTTTCTGCTGGTAGCAAATTCCTAATGTAAAAGCAGAGAGTAGGTGACTGTCCCACATCAGTAGACAGTGGCCTACAGCAAGCAACTTGGTTTCACCTGCCCCTTCCCCGCCTCACCTCAGGGGACAATTCTGTAGCAAATGTCAGATTGCAGAATTTCTTTAGGAATGTTCCATAATGTGTCACTGGAAGTGAGGCTGTGTTGCATGGTGGTTTGTGAGAGCCATGTGCAAGCTCACAGCTGGCCCCAGGACCCGGTTGTGGAGGACAGACCCTTGCCTGTGCACGTGCAGCCGCTGTCTCTCTCGCCTTGGCAGTGTGCTGAGTGGAACATGTCAGTTAGGCATCTGGAGTGGGTCTCACACTGCCTGTGGCTCTCCAGGGATGAAGCTACTGGCTGTTCCGGAAACCTTTCCTTGTTCTCATTGGAAAGACAACCAGGAAAAGCCCTGGGAACACTGATGTCCTTGTGGCCTTGGGCAAAGGGTGTCGCCTCCCTGCCCCCATGCAGTGCCACTGGGCATCCCTTGGTGTGCCAGGGCTGTGCTGGCACCCCACTGCTTCACTCCCTCCATGTCTCTTATCACCATGCCGGCGGCTGAGAACAGGCCTCTCCTGGGTCTCTGTGAATTCTAGAAAGATGGATGAGACTCACTTTCCTGTGGCCCCGCAATCTCCAGGTTCCATGCGGTAGTCAAGGGCTCAGTTTCTTCGATGCTCCTGTCCAGATACCTGGGCAGGACCTGCATGTACACCTGCTTCATACCTCGGCCCACCTGCTGATTGACTTCCTGCCCTGCCTGTGAAGTGGTTGCTTTGGAGGCCCATGCCGCCAGCCCCTGCCTTCCTGGAATGTGTCACCCTTGGGTTCTGCTGTCAGCACCCCCACCCTACCCAACATTCTCGCCATTGGGAGACATATCCCACCGTAACACAGAAGCCAGGAGGGACAATCATGGTGGGCAGCATGCCATCACTGCCTGTTAGGAGAACATGAGTAGTTCTGCAGCCAAGGAGGGTCCCTGGTGGGATATCTGCCCCATGTGGGAAGACCATTTGGCACCTGGTTCCAGAGGGATTTTGGACTGGGAATGACTTCCAAGGGAGAAGTGCACAGAAGAGGGGCCAAGGATGTGCCCAGCAATCCCTGACAGCAAGAGGGACGGGCCACCAGAGAGGAAGAACTGCCCTGGCCGTCCTTGGACAGCAGTGCCTGGAGCAGAGATGGTGTCATGTGCATGATTAGGATGCATCAATGGCCACCTTCTGGCTCCAGGGAGTGGCCCCTGCAGGTACCAGAAGGTACCCTGAAACAGGGTAGTGGCAGATGGGCTGTAGGGGAGAGGGTGGCTAAAGTGGATAGAAGACAGGAAGACAGGTTGTGTCGGCCAGCTTGGGTCCCAGGTTCTTACTCTGGGTTCTTTCTTCCCTCCTCATTCCCTCCCTTCTTTGGCTCTTCCTTGCTTTTCGGCCTGGAGGTCCAGCCTCCCCTGCCCCACCTCACCTCCAGCCCAGGTAGATAAAGCTCCTGTCCCCTCCTTTTTTGACCTCTCTGAGATGCCCCTCTCGGGTGACCTGCCTCCCTGCCCTGAGGGTTCGTGGGGGCCTTTGCAAGACTAGAGCCTGAGTGGAGCCTCTCTTAGCCCCATCCAGGTCCTGGCATCTCTGTCACCCACATGAGCCTCAACGAGGGTGAGAGGTCTGCCACTCCTAGATGGGTGGGTGGGTGAGTGAGGTTCCCAGGGCCAGGTCACCTCACATTTTGCTGCTTAGGGAACGAGCATCAACTGGGTGCTGTCTTCAGGACTGACTGTGGTTGTCTAGGGAGACCCTACCAGGCTGTCACATTCAAGAGCTTCTGTCTCAGCCTGCGGGGTGGGGTGAGGACACAGGGCCAGGCCCTTTGTAGGGAACCCTCCATACATGGCTCAGAGTCTTGACTGACTGGGTCTGGGATGCCCGGGTGGTGCCCCCTATAATGTACAGAGCTCTCGCATCCAAGCCCCAGAGGTCACTGGGCAGGGCCGCCTCAGTCATCCTTGGCCCTACTGCCATCACTGGCTGTCTTCTGACTCCAGGGAGTGGCCCCACTGGGTGCTTGCCCTCTTGCTCCAACCTTGCAGGTACAGCCATTCCTGGGTGAGGACCTGCATGCTGAGGCAGACAGGGATGGCTGAGGAGGTAGCATTGCCCAAGGGCCAAGAGCCCAAGGGCCTGCTGGAAGCTGAACATCTCCCTTGGACCTTTGCCTCATGTCCTGGTGAACACACAGCTCCCAGGAGGCTCTGGCTGGCTACTAGCCCGGTAGTGGTTTCCAGGGCACCAGACCCTGGGATGGCAGGTGTTCTCCCCCTCCCTCCTGTGTGGCATAGGACAGCATCTGCCCAAGACAAGGACACTGTGTGCCACTGGCTGGCTGGACCTGGGCAGTGTTCCGCTCTGCAGGGCCTGCTGATTTAGGAGCACCCAGGGACCCAGGGTGAGGTCACAGGGTAGGGACAAGGCCATGTGGCCAGCTCAGGAGCCCAGTCAGTGCTGGAGTCCCAGGGCAGGGCAGTAGCCGGCCTTCTGTCCCATGGGCCTGGCATCCTCACCGCATAGTCCTCTCTTATGCAAATCCCTGCCCGCCACACATTAGGGGTGAGCACAGGATCGCGTCTCCTCTCAGATCAACCCCATATCCCCCTGCAGCTTGGAGTAGGTTTCTCAGGACCATTTGGATGTGCCATGGGCCTAATCCCGTACAAGAACATTGCCAGGAAGGCCCTTATGGCCAAGAAGTGAACTGGTCCACCGGCAGAGGGCAGCTCTGTGAGAGCCATTGGGCACAGTGACGTCACTGTGCAGCTTCACACCCAGAGGACACAGAACTGAGGGAGACGCCATGGCCTCTAACACTGGAAACAGGGCAAGCAGAAGACTAGGAAAACCGGATACACAAGGCCAGAACCCAGGTGCGTGGCTCCACAACCCAGGTAGTAGACAGGACTGAGGGTGTAGACAGGAGATGGATGGCCTTGGGTCATCTGGGTGGGCCCTGCCTTGTAAGACGTGTCCCAGGAGAGATGCCATGTGAGGGTGGGGGCTGTCCAGAAGTGAGGGTGCTGTGTCCCCCAGAAGCTGGCAGCAGCCTTCAGGTGACAGCCAGCAAGATGGGACCTCAGTCCTGTGGCCACAAGGAACTGGATCTGTCAGCACCTGATGGAGCAGGAATGGGTCCTCCCCTGGAACCTCCAGAAAGGCCTGCAGCTAACACCTGAGTCCCCACTTGTGAGACTCAGGCCTGCCCGACACAGAGGTGGAGATGGTGTGTGTGTGCCCTACTCCAAGTTTATGGTCATGAGCTATGGAAATGACCACACTGGTTCTGGCAGGAGTGCAAGCAGAAGCTTCTCCACCTGCTGGTTCCAGGCAGGAAAGACTGGGAGCAGGCCCCTGAGGGCTCGAAGGCCACCCTCTTGGACCTGGAGCCCATGGTACTTCTGCAGCTGTTTGTGTGCAACTCCAGAGTCAAGCCTGGTAGATGTCTGCCACAGCTTGTCTGTAATAGCAGATGGAAAATGCCTGTGTGTCCCCGCATTCACATAGGACCCTCCTGCTCCAGAAGGCACGGCAGGCTGTCTGTTTGATGCTGGACGACTCTAATGTTAAGTCTGGAAGGCAAAGCGTGGCACCCTGTTCCACTTGGCTGTGAAGTGTGAGATGTGTGTGTGTCCATGCCTGCACACACAAGGGAGGTTTTGGAGAAACACAGAAAGCGCTGCAGTGCTGGCTAGGAGATGGGCTCTCCTTGTGTGCTATGTTAACGTGCTTCCTGCCCTACGTAATTTGGTGTCATGTGTGACTCATGGAGGCCTCAGGGGCTTTCCCAGGGCTGTGGGCTCCACTGAGATCTGCAGCTGCCGGGGTGCTTGCCTAGTGGTAGGCGCTGTCATAACACTGGGCATTCGACGTCATGTGATGTACTGGCAAGTGCACGGGGAAAGGCGTGGCTTCCAGCTGGATCCCATGAGGGAGGGCCTGCTCACGGGAGGGACATGCATGGATGTGTGCCTCTGCCAGGAGAGCCCAGCAGCCCCGAGCCCACGGCGGCCCCCAGAGCACCGTGTTGCAGCCGTTTGTGCCAGCAGGCATGTGGATTGCAGAGCTACTGGAGGGTTGGGCCTGCAGTTTCTGGGTTAGAGGTATGGCTGAGTGTTAGCGTGGTGCTTCCTTGGGGCTGTGGCCTGCATCTTCTCCACTTGGTGACTGTCTGCTCTTTGGATGTCTTCAGGCAAACTCCCAGGGAATTGTTAGTGCAGTTGTGTGGTGTGATTTTTCAAGCATAGTGCATTTTACTTGACTCCTCAGTCTCCTCTGCCCATCAAATGGCAGCATCGAGATGGCCTCATGTGTAGGGAAAGACCTTGTTTCATAAGTGTCTAAGGTTCAGTGGCCAGTAGGCATGTATGGGGTCAGGATGGTGGCGGGGGAAGCGCTCTCTGGAGCTGGCTCTCATTGTTCTGGGGTGGGAGAGGGATGGGAGTGGGCTGGGGCTGGGCATCCAGGGGAGAAGGGCAGGGGCCTGATGTGGCTCTCATTCCGCAGATCCGGAACATGGTGGCAGTGCTGGAAGTCATCTCCAGCCTGGAGAAGTACCCCATCACCAAAGAGGCGCTGGAGGTGAGCACCCGGGCCCAGTGTTTGGGAGGGGGGGACAGGAGTATCCCCACCCCAGGTCTGTCCCAGCTTTTCAGAGCCTCCGCCTCCCCTCTCTAGTCAGGGAGGTCATGACTTTGCAGCACGCACCAGGTCTTGGTCTTCCCATGAGCACTGCAGGAACAGGAGGGGGGTTGACCCCAAAGCTGGGCTCTGTCCTCCAGGCCCCACACCCTTCAGGGACACATAGGGACACAGGGAAAGCATGCTCAGTGAGTGGTACTGTCCCTAGCCCCATGCTGGTGGGGCAGGTCCTTGTGCTGCCCCCTGGCCATGGCACGCTCACTTAGCAGCCTCCCTGGCAGTGTGTCCTTACAGTGGCTTTGACGGGAGCCTATGGGGGCCCTATGGTTTGAGGACTAAGTGGGAGCCTCTGTGCTGTCACCCAAGACCAGAGATGCCATAGGTTTTGTGTTTGGGAGGCCAGTAGTGGAGGTCACAGTGGGGATGGGGCCAAGCACCCAGGTCTAGCTCTGCCCTTCTCACCAGGAGGGTCACGTCTCTCTGCTTGTAGGAGACACGGCTGGGGAAGCTCATCAACGACGTGCGCAAGAAAACCCAGAACGAGGAGCTGGCCAAACGTGCCAAGAAGCTGCTGCGCAGCTGGCAGAAGCTCATTGAGCCTGCACACCAGAATGAAGCACTGCGGGGACTGGCGGGGGCTGCCGGCTCGGCCAACGGGGGCGCCCACAACTGCCGGCCAGATGCGGGAGCTAGCGCGCCCAAGAGTATCCATGACCTGAAGCACCGCAATGACATCCAGAGGCTGCCTGGGCAGCGGCTGGACCGGCTGGGGAGCCGCAAGCGCCGGGGGGACCAGCGTGACCTCGGCCACCCGGGGCCGCCTCCCAAGGTCTCCAAGGCCAGCCATGACCCCCTGCTCTCCAACTCCTCCCCCCTTCCCACCAATGGGATCGGCGGGAGCCCCGAGAGCTTCCCCGGGCCCCTGGACGGTGGCGGGCACATGGGTCCTGAAGGTGGCCGCCTGGAGCGCAGCGAGAATGATAAGCATGGCGCCAAGATCCCTGTCCACGCTGTGCGGCCGCACACCAGCTCCCCGAGCCTGGGCAAGCCCCCTGGGCCCTGCCTGCCGGCGAAGGCCTCCGTGCTGCAGCAGCCAGACAGGGGGGATGAAACCCCAGGTCCTCCCCACCCAAAGGGCCCTCCCCGCTGCTCCTTCAGTCCCCGGAACTCACGGCATGAGGCTTCCTTCGCACGGCAGCAGAGCCCCTATGCGCCCAAGGGCTCCGTGCCTAGTCCTTCCCCACGTCCGCAGGCCCTGGAGGCCACACAGGCGCCGTCGCCACTCCCGCTGGCCCAGCCATCCACACCCCCTGTGCGGCGGCTCGAGCTGCTGCCTGGCACTGAGAACCCGGTGCGCTGGCCGGAGCAGCCCGAGGGCCATCAGCGGCTAGGGCCAGGCTGTAAAGCGGGGCTGCCCCTGGCTGAGCCCCTCCTGCCCCGGGCGGGCTTCTCCCCGGACTCCTCCAAGGCGGACAGCGATGCTGCCTCCTCAGGTGGCTCCGATGGCAAGAAGAAGAAGCGGTACCGGCCCCGCGACTACACAGTTAACTTGGACGGGCAGGTGGCTGAGGCAGGCGTCAAGCCTGTCCGGTTAAAAGAGCGCAAACTCACCTTTGACCCCATGACGAGACAGATCAGACCTCTGACCCAGAAAGAGCCGGTGCAGGCAGACAGCCCCACGCACACGGAGCCGTCGCCCAGGACAGAGCCGGACAAGGAGGCCAAGGCTAGCCTCCAGAGCCCCTTCGAACAGACGAACTGGAAGGAGCTGTCGCGCAATGAGATCATTCAGTCCTACCTGAGCCGGCAGAGCAGCCTGCTGTCGTCGTCGGGCGCGCAGACCCCAGGGGCCCACCACTTCATGTCCGAGTACCTACGGCAGGAGGAGGGTGCTCGGCGTGGGGCCCGGCGGCCACACGTGCTGGTGCCGCATGGCCTGCCCACAGACCTCCCTGGGCTGACGCGGGACATCACACAGGACGATCTCGACAGAATCCAGGCCCAGCGGTGGCCAGGGGTGAACGGGTGTCAGGACACACAGGGTAACTGGTATGACTGGACGCAGTGCATATCGCTCGACCCGCACGGCGACGACGGGCGCTTGAACATTCTGCCTTATGTCTGCTGGGACTGACTGGCCACTGGCTTCCGAGCGTGTTCCCACCTTGCAGGTGCCGGGCAGGCCGGCGGGGCCCAGCTGTCTCCCATGGCCAGGAACTCATGGAGTCCGGCCCAGCGGGTGGGAGGCAGCAGGAGTCACGTGGTCTCTCCGTGCTCTTCCCTCAAAAATCTCCTTCTTTTGTGAAATGCTGCTACCAGTTTACTAACAAAATTGCAAAGGAAGGACCATGCAGAAGGAAGGACAGCAAAGCGAGTTCAGAACTCTATAGCAAACCAGCTCTAAACAGCGTTAGTCCCCCACCCCAAGAGGTGCAGACGCCTCCCAGCACCTAAGCGTGGGGCCTCGGTTGCAGGCGGCACAGAACACCTGGGAGAGGTTCTCTTTAAACACAGCAGCCGGAGTGCGCCTGTCTCTCAGCATTTTCTGTTCTTTACTTTGGCCCTGAGTGTCTGGCAGTTGGTGGGCCACGCCACGGCCTCTGTCCACTCTCCAGCCAGCCACTGTCGAGCCAGTGCTGCCCATCATGTGCCAGAAGCTTCTCGGCTGTGGCGAGCCATGGGCCCTGGGCAGGCTGGGCAGGCAGGCCAGCCAGTTTGACCCACACTCCACGGGCACCCACCCATTGTGTCTGGTTTTAGTTAAAACCCAGTTCTTAACGAAATGCTGCAAACATTTAAGTTTTCTCCAGTTGATTTTTCTCCCTCTCTTCTGTCTGGCCACCAGCCAAAAACGTCCTTTCTTTCTTCCTTTTCTTCTTTCTCTTCCTGCTCACATCTAGAAAATTCCATCTTTCTAGTGTTCCCCCAAAACAACACAAACGTTCCGCGGGTGCTACTGGTTCTAAGCTGTACTGTGGGGTGAGGGAACCTGTCTGTACGCTGGAAACACTCATAACCATTCCTTTAGATTTGTTTGCCTTATGGTTATTTGTCATAAATGCGATCTGCAAAAACAAGGAGCCTTAGTGAATGTACAGTACTAGACTTCTGTGTCTCGGATGCAGAAGGAGCAACTTTGCTATTTGGTCCAGTAAGTGGACACCTTGTGATATAAATGTGGAAATAAAAAAAAAAAACCATTTGCACAAGCCAGGCTGAGAACCATTTCTCATTTGGACCTCACAACCAGACTGCAGGGAGGTTGGGGCAGGGCAGAGCATGGTCTCCCTGCTGCCCGCCAGTCTGCTGATTCATCTGGGGGCCCCCACTTTTCTGTTCATCCAGGGCCACCTGCCAGGTGGGAGTCAGGGACGACATCAGGGAACGTCATCCTGGCCAACCCAGACCTCCCCTTCACCTGCCCCAGAGAGAAGCCCTTACTGCATAGCAGGCCCCATAGCTCTGGTCTCAGTGACTTTCTTTTCCCTCCAAAATATGCCTCCCCCCAAATACAGGTGTGGCCCAGAGGCTTGGAGCTGTGTGTCTTGCGACCCAGCCCTTGGCCCCACCCCAGGCTGCCGTACTACCTGGTTCTACTACCTGGTTCGTGGTGATTTTTATTGTTTTTTTTTTTGGTTTTTTTTTGAGTTGGAGTCTCACTCTGTCGCCCAGACTGGA